TAAAATTTACAACCCTCTGTGAACATTTTCTAGGGCGTGCTTCAAAGCTCCTACCGGTTTAAAAAAAAAATAAATCATATTTTCCAAAGAGTACAGGGTTCGTATAGAAAATGATTGGTTTCAAGACTTTAAAAAATTTCAAAGTTTCAATGGTTTCAAAAATTAAGTTACAAAATTCGTAGAAAATTCAAAATTAAAATCTCTCGTAATGACACATTCGCGTATGCCAGACTCACAAGTTTAGCTAACAAGACATTCAGGGGTACAAAGAGCCGTATGCAAAAACGACATTTTTCGCCCCCCCCACTAAAACTTATTCAAACTTCGTCTATCAGTTACTAATACTGGAGCGCTTCTTTCCCCAAATTTTCAGACCCCCAAAAAATTTTGGGGGGGCGCTAGGGGGGGGTGGAAGTCAAAACCTGTGACCCTCGATATCTTTCGAACGAAACAAGATATTGAGGCCCGGTTTGGACGAAAAATCGTCTAAAATTGCATACTTTAAGATTCTAAAGGTCAAAATCCCAAAATTAAATTTTTAACTTAACGTATGTGCTTTTTTTCAGTTTTTGAGGAAAAACAATTTCTTTTAAACAGATTAGACGGAAATTTCACATTTTTTGATTTGTACTAAAACCAGTTTTTTAAATTGTTCGTCTTTTTCCGCATCCAACGAGTGGTCGTATAAGCTGGGGAACCGAACGGTTCCGGAGTTATGATCGATTGAAGTTTCCGCTCAACGCGCGCCGACCGATTTTCGCGCGCAAAAAAGTCGGATTTGACTGTTATTAAATCAGATTTAATGTTCAAACTGAGCAAAATGCATTATTAGGGACTCTTGAGGGTCGCTGAGTCCAGAAATTACAGATACTTCCAAAAAATTCACGTTTTTAAAATTACAGCTGCGTACAGGACCACTGAGCGGCCGGTCGGCGCTCAGTGGGCCTCTAAAATAGCGCTACGGAGCTGTAATTTTAAAAACGTGAATTTTTTGGAAGTATCTGTAATTTCTGGACTCAGCGACCCTCAAGAGTCCCTAATAATGCATTTTGCTCAGTTTGAACATTAAATCTGATTTAATAACAGTCAAATCCGACTTTTTTGCGCGCGAAAATCGGTCGGCGCGCGTTGAGCGGAAACTTCAATCGATCATAACTCCGGAACCGTTCGGTTCCCCAGCTTATACGACCACTCGTTGGATGCGGAAAAAGACGAACAATTTAAAAAACTGGTTTTGGTTCAAATCAAAAAATGTGAAATTTCAGTTTAATCTGTTTAAAAGAAATTGTTTTTCCTCAAAAACTGAAAAAAAGCACATAAGTTAAGTTAAAAATTTAATTTTGGGATTTTGACCTTTAGAATCTTAAAGTATGCAATTTTAGACGATTTTTCGTCCAAACCGGGCCTCAATATCTTGTTTCGTTCGAAAGATATCGAGGGTCACAGGTTTTGACTTCCCCCCCCCCTAGCGCCCCCCCAAAATTTTTTGGGGGTCTGAAAATTTGGGGAAAGAAGCGCTCCAGTATTAGTAACTGATAGACGAAGTTTGAATAAGTTTTAGTGGGGGGGGGCGAAAAAAGTCGTTTTTGCATACGGCTCTTTAGATAAGGTTCAAAAGAAGTCCCAGTTCGCGGGCTGCCACTTTGTAACGAGGCAAATCCCGTTTCTTCAGAGGCACATACGTCCTCTGGTATAAGATAAGCCAACGTTACTGTAGTTGCCAGAATGAGCTCGCCGGGATCCTGGATTCGGGCGCCAATTTTAAAAATGAAATTGAAAGAGGGGAAGAATGATCAAAAATCTCGTGTCTCGAATTTACAAAAAGTATGTCCTTTTATTAGCTAAATTTGTGAGGATCCTACTCAACCTACACTCAAAATGATGATAATAATTTAGCCGAAATGCCACTCACTAACGTGCACCTCAAGGCTTGAAATTTCAGGATACATTTAAGAGGAGAGGAGGAGTGAAGCTGGGCGAGATGCTACTCACTAACGTGCACCTCAGCACAGAAGAAGAGAAAAGAGGAAAGGGAATGGACAGAGGGCTCGACGAGATGCCACTCACTAACGTGCACCTCAAGTCGAGAAAAAGAGTTAGAAAAGATGAGAGAAGAGGTGACCCTCCGGAGAGGAGAGGGTGATGAACAATGTTTGGCTTAGAGGGCTATCAGATTGATTTAAAGCTCTTGGAAGACGATCTCGACATTCATTGCAATATTTTTGTTACAAGAAAAATTAATTAAAATATAAAATTTACAGAAATGGACGTAGGAAAATTTCCTACAGACATTTATAGTAGTTTAGAATTTTTTACAATTTTTCGTTTTGGGTAAATCTACGGAAAACCCTGATTTCGCAGTCCAATAAGCATATTCGAGAGAGAAAAAGGAGAGAAACAGTTTTCCATTTCTTCTCATTATTCAAACAGCTGATGTACCGTCACCGGGCGTCGCGGCGCGGTGTCGCCAAGCCGTGACACATTTGTCGCTTTTTTGGTCTACGAAAGAAGGGAAAAAACTTGAAACGAAGAATGAAATACTTCGTTACACCCCCTTCCTCCTCTTACAGTTACTCTCCGGAGCTTCGGCTCCGGTGTGGCCGCAGCCGTTGCGCCGCCTCATTTTTGTGGGAACATTGATCAGCGTTTCGAGTAAGGCTCAGTTCGGGTGCGATATTCTATCGTCTGGCGACTGGCCGCTACGCGCCCAACCCCCTCCCCCTCCGTCCCTAAGACACTCCGCGCCACCAGGCTATCGATATTTTAGACCAAAATATTGTATCGATATTTCAACGTTGATATATCGTCCGTATCGATATGTTACGGGTAGTCTAGTCAAACCGGGTAATGTCGACATTACCCGGGTTATGTCGGCAATAATTGACATTACCCAGGTCGTTTTGGTCAGGTTAGGTTAGGTTAGGTTATAATACCCGCCATCCCACCCCTTAGTCGTCAGGGAGGGCCGCAGACGGGACCGGCTGGACCTAACCTAACCTAACCTAACCTACCCGAACCTAACCTAACCTACCCGAACCTAACCTAACCTAACCAAAACGGCCCGGATAATGTCAATTATTGCCGCCATTACCCGGGTAATGTCGACATTACCCGGTTTGACTAGATTACCCGTAACAGATACATTTATCTCTAGAAATATCGAATCGATTTTTCTTTCTTTCTTCTGCTAAGTTGTGTATTTTACACCTCGAAAAATCGGAAATTATGGTCAATTTTTCATAGTTCGAATTTCGGATTTCGCTGGCCAGGTCGTCTACGTCACAGGGTAAACAAACCTCAAGATGCAAATACCTCCTTTTTTTCTCTATGTAGGTATAGGACTTTTCGCGTGGCTGCTCGACGGTTTGTTAATCTGTGGAGGTTAAGCTACATTCACGCGTCGCAAGCAACCTGGCGCGTCTGCTTCTTGCTACTGCGAGCGCGCCTTCATTCCCTCCCGCACGCAACAAGGACAACCGCGATGATAAAGAATTCCATTCGGCGAAATCGAGCCGAGAGCAGGCACCACGAGTATATACATTATGGGTTATTTTAGTAATGGGTGGGATTTTATTTAAAATTTCTAGGAATCCTAGGTATAGTATTTACTGTAGTAAACAATTATCATTTATTCCATCACTTCTTCGGATTATTTATTTTTAATCAATCTATATTCATGTGAAGTGTAGCTCATCTGCATTTTTCTTTCCCTGGAACCTAAATGTATATTATGAGTTTGAATCCATCAGAAACTAAGTCAGTCAAAATCAAATTTTACTACGTACGAAGTGAAAATGATTTGTATTTCGCAAATCAAAGTGATAATTAAAGCAACCAAACTGTGTCAGAAATGTTCCCAAATTACTAGGTAAGGCTTTTATCAGCTCATTATCTGATCCAATAATTTCAATTGTGGCATTTCATTGCGGCATGTCGTGCGGCATGTCGCCGCACGACTTCTATGATACT